AAACTTCTTTCCCAAGGGACTTTGCAGTCTCCAATCATCTTATTTGCCTCATGAATTCCCAAATGGACCAAGTAATATGACCACAGAACCCTTGACCAAAGAGCATCTCCTAACACATTTTGGAAACTCCTCTCTATTAATTCAGCAACTGTACTGTGGCAAACACTGCTCCAGGGAGAATTCCACTGTCACCATCCAGTTCCTTTTCTACTGGAGCCATATTCTAGTGGTTTTCAGCCTCGTTCTGACTATAGCTGTGGGAGTTGGAAAATCACTTCAGTTCCCTGAGACTCAACTTCTTCATCTGTAAGTGGATGATGTTAGATTCCACGACGTTGAAAAACTCATCCAGCTGTACAAGTCTGTGCTTATGGGATTATGAAAGTCTCTGGGAAGATTGCATGTAGAGTGTGTGAATACTCTGAACCTATGAAGGCCAGGAAAGTCCCAGGCTGTTACGTGGGGCAAAGAGAAGGAAGACGGGGGACATGCAAGGAACATCAGTCACTAGAACTAGCTCCACTTTCTCAAGGTTTTATTCCAGTAGTCTAGCATAAGCAATCTCTGGGTGATCTCAACTTTGAGGTCACACGTTTAAGGTTTAGATGGAACAAAACTAAATCCTCGTAAAACAAAAGGTTAATGTGACTGAACACCTGCACCATGGAACCTCAAAAGCCAAGAAAACCTAACAGAAAGAGGTAGATCAAACAATTCAGACTCTGACTCTCGAGCAACTCTGGGTTCTTTACTTCCTTATTCAGTTCAAATTCAAGCAAGATAGCTGGGAACCAAGCCTTCTTCTCTTCTATTATTCTCAACTACCCACAGGGGACCCTTTTAGGGATACTTATAAGTATAAAAGAAATGACAAAGGAGAAGATCCTTTGAAAACTGCAAAGCACTCCACAAATATGTTATTTTTTATTATTATTATTCACAACGTTTAAAGTGCAGTATTTATTGGCTTTCCCACAGACATGACTTCAGGCAAGTAATTCACCAGCTCCTCCCTTCATATAAAACAAGGAGAGGATGGGAAAGATTAACTAGAAAATGATGGGGGATGCCTTTGAAAATGAGGGTCACTGCAGTACTTACTGATTAATAGTCATCACACAATTGTGAAGTTATTAATAGCTCGGCGCCCAGCAGAACCCGTGTTCCGCTCCTTTTTCACTTGTTGCCAGTTTGATTGAGTCCATAAGCTCCGCTACCCTATAATTAGCACAACACCCTGGAAAATTAATCCCGCCTGGTGAGTCAACATCAGGGAAATGAACAGACTTCTAAACAATGTTGGGATAAAACTGAAGAGAGGGAACGGAAAGCCTCAAATCCTGATTTGTCAGCTAAAGACAGGGGAGTCCATCTTTCTATTTTCAACAACTGACTTTCAACATGCTATCGAGATAAACATATTCCTTATTAGAATTTTCAATTAATCAGAGAATTATAAGCTGTGACATTATGACTATGTATGCCTTATAATGTGTGGCGTTGGAGAAACTGAGCCTGCTAATATAATTAAAATAAATTGCCCAAATCTCTATCTCCTGGCAGAGACTCTGGAGTCAGACTGAGCAGGAGGGTTCTGGGTGAGTGAGCCTGCAGAGGAAGCCTTTTATTAGAAACTAGAGGCCCTGTGCATGACATTCATGTACTTGGGGGAGGGGAGGAAGGTCCCTCAGCCCGGCCTGCACCCTTTCGCAGTCCAGGAGCTCTAAGGGGATGTCTGACTGACAGCTTAGGCCTGCTCCCCTCAATCAGACATCCGGAGGCAGGCTGCTGCGTTTGCCAGCTGTCAGCCCAGCTTGTGGCAGAGTGGCGCTTCCCCTGTGGGAGCGCACTGACCACCAAGGAGCAGCTCCTGCATTGAGCGTCTGCCCTGTGGTGTTCAGTGTGCATCATAGTGACCAGTCATTTCACCATTCAGTCAATTTGCATATTATATTCCCAATGAACTATACATTCCAGTATTTATGCCTCTCAGTGGTCACTCTTTACATTGGCTTTAGGGTTGGCCATGTGATTTGTTTTTTATCAATAGTACCACAATAAAAGTACACTAAAAGAGATTTGATAAGCACTCATCCATGAGGTTTTGTACTTTCAGAATTCTCCTTCCTGGAACCCAACCTCTGTCCTTAAGGAAGTCCAAGTTATCCAAATGGAGAGATAGGTTGCATGGAGAAGCCCTGGAAGATGGGCTATTACGTATGTGGAGAGAGAGGCTATGTTGAAGAGCACCAAAACACCCCCAGCCAAGCTTTTAGGTCAATGTTTGGCAAATTTATTAGTCAACAGAGCCATATATCAACAGTACAACAATTAAAATTTCTTTTGAGAGCAGAAGACCGACTTCTGCGCATGGGTCACGAAGTTTCAATCGCAGTGTACGTGCACATCGACTTCTGCGCATGTGGATTTTGTGGAAGAGCCACACTCAAGGGGTCAAAGAACCGCATGTAGCTCTCGAGCCACAGTTTGCTGACCACTGTCTTAGGTGAACACAGCTTTATGAGTGATCCCAGTCAATACCAAATGGAGAATTGTCCACCCAGCCTAGAGAATTATGAAAAATAATATATCATTGTTGTTTTAAGCCACATGTATTGGGATGGTTTGAGATATAGCAAATAAATAAATTAATTAATTAATTTTGGAACCCTAAAGATTGCTAGGAGTAAGGGTACACCAAACATAGACCAAGCCTTACAAAAACTGAGGTCTAGTTTTAAAAGAAACTTAATCCTTTATTGGATTAATTTGCTCATCATCCCTACTCCTAATTGTCCACCAGAAGCTAAAATAAATTATTTTATAAGGAATATAAAATCATCTAGAACCTCAGGTCATCTGTATAGTTTTTAAACAATATACAATGCCCAGAATTGTTTAAAAAATTATGCTTATAAAAATAAAAGATTTGATTGATATTCAAGAGAAAAATCAGACAATAGAAACACAACCACAAGAGATCCAAATATGGAAGTTATCAGACACAGATTATAAAACAATTGATATGCTCAATAATTAAATGACAAGATAAAGAGTTTCAGCACACATGTGGAAGTTTTAGAATTAGAGTGAAATTATGGAGCTTAAATATGCAATAGCTGAAATTAAAAACTCAGTAGATAGACTTAACAGCAGATAAGATGTAGCTAACAAGAGAAATTGCAAACTGTAAGGCAGAACAGAAAAAAAACAAACTTCAGCACAGTTAAAAGACTAAAAAATACATAAATAAGCATAAGAATCAGATATGACTCAGTGAAAAGAGCCTCACATTCACATAGTAGAAGTCCCAAATGGAGAAGAAAGAGAGAATAAAATAGAATCCTATATATCAATAATAAAAGCCTAATATGCAAATTGACCAAACGGTGGAACGACAGGTCACTATGATGCACATGGACCAGCAGGGGGCAGATGCTCAATGCAGGAGCTGCCCCTGGTGTTCAGTGCACTCCCACAGGGGGAGCACTGCTCAGCCAGAAGCTGGGCTCATGGCTTGGGAGCGCAGCAGCGGCACTGGGAACCCCTCCGTCTGCTACAGGCAGACATCCCCTGAGAGGTCCTGGACTGTGAGAGGGCACAGACCCCATGCACTGGGCCTCTAGTTAATATATAAAGAAATAATGGCCAGGGATTTTCTAAGCTAACGAAAGATTTCAAGTCACATAGTTTCTTAAATATGTGACAAACTCCATTAAAGATAAGTAAAAATGAAAACCACCCCTAGACACATTACAGTAAAACTGCCAGAAACCAAGAAGAAAAAAAGACAAATATTGTAGATTGGATAAGAAAACAAAACTCAATTATTAATAATATTTTTTCTACTTGTCTGAATCACTTCAAAATAAAATGCTTTAAAGAAAGAAGCTTATTTATTCTCCCGTCCCCCAGCCTCTTTGACAGCTATCAGGTTACTGTCTATATCTATGGGTCCGTTTTTTCTTTGTTTATTAATTTGCTTTGTTTTATAGATTCCACGTGTAAGGGAACTCATATATTATGCCTTTCTCTGATTTATTTTTACTTAGAAAATACTCAATTCTTCATTTCAAAGTATTGAAATGGTCTTGTCTCCTAACTGGATTCTCTACCTTTATTCTTCCTCCCCTCTAGACCATTCTCTACTCCACAGTAGGTCGAACTAAAATTTAAATATGATCACCTCTCTCCTCTAGAAATGTTTCAGTGGCTTCCCATTCCCTCAGAATAAAATTCAAAGTTCTCATCACAGTAGTTTAAGTGCCCATCTCAGGTCCTTTCTTTACCTTTCTAGATTCCTGTCTCACAACTACCTCACTAGTTCTCTACACTCAAGCCATATTTCACTGGCTATGCATTCCTCTAAACTGCTTTCCTCTCCCCCACTTCAGGGTCTTTGTGTATGCTGTTCCTATTCTTTGGTACTCCCTCCCCTCATCTCATATTCCTTTTCCTGGATTTCCTACTTTCGTTCAGGTTATAGTTTAAATATCATTTCCTCTTGGAAACTTTCCAGAATTCCTAGACAGGGTAATTTATACCACAGAGGGCAATAAATTTTCTCCTGACATCCCAAAATTTCCCTATCAAAGTACCTATCACACTTTATGACTACTTCTTATTGTGATCTCCCTGTAAGCAGGGGTCCTCAAACTTTTTAAAGTGGGGGCCAGATCACAGTCCCTCAGAGAGCTGGAGGGCCGGACTATATCAACTACTAATTCCTACTGTAACACCTCGGCTGCGCTCACTGCCCAAAAAACCTGGCGGGCCGGATCAGACTCCTCTGCGGGCCGCATGTGGCCCGCAGGCCGTAGTTTGAAGACGCCTGAAAGACTGTCAGTTCTAAAAGGGCAGAAATCATGTATGTCTTGCTCACAGTTGTCTTCCTAGTCCTCAGCCTGGCAAAACACACACACACACACACACACACACACACACAAACAAATAAACAAACAACAACAATAAATACACAAAAAACAAACAAAAAATAAATATTTTAAAAATTATTTATTAATCAATATTAGAAAACCCTCATATCTTATCTTCAAGACAGTCCATCACACCTCTCTTGTAGACCCAGCTATTTTTTTTTTTTAATCTTCTAGAAGCTTCTAGGGAAGGGTAAATGTGAACTTACTACGCTTTACTTTTTTTGTTTTAACATTTTCAAGATTTTGCTGCAATGAAGATAAATATAAAGCAAAAAAAAAACAACAACTTAAAATGTAAGTGAAAGTATACTATATATATACCCCTTCCCAACTATCCCAATTCCAGAGTGTTTATTCTTGCTCTCTTACATGCAAAAAAGTGTGATTATTCTACTTGTATCCTCAAATGACACTCTGGCTTTTCAGTCACTCCAGCGTCCAGTTAACAAATGGCCTTCCTTGTTTTTTTTGCAGCCGTGGTGGCTCCTTTCCAATTTTTATCACGGACTTTGTTTTTCTCTGCTTCCTTCTCTGCTTCCTCTCCTCAGCTCAGCACAGCTTCCTCTGTCATGTTCTATAAACCTGCCACTGTTGATGAGTCTTTTTATGTGCCATCTGAATTGGTCAGCTCTGTCTCATTATTCCTTGGGTTCTATTTTGAATTGTAGTGGCAAGTAATTTTTTTCTTTACTTGTTCCTTTCCCTCCCCTTGCAGCTCATTTCTTAATTTGGTCACTTAATTAGCTTTTCATTTGACAAAACTGAAGGCACCCTTTTGCCACCATCAAATTTTGTCTGCTTTGTTTTATTTGTGTCACTACTGTCAAGAACAGTATCTGGCACCTGATCCAGACTCAGTACCTATTTGTTGAGTACATTGAATACCTTGGCATGTACCCTGTGACAGGCTGCTTGAGCTGATTTAGATTTTACCTTTGTTCTTCATATGCCACAGATCAATACTTAAAACATCATTGAGTACCTAAAACTTGATGACTCAATAAAATTTCACTCCAGTATAAATGTTGTGACCTGACCCAATTATAGGCATTCTTCCTTAGAAGGTTTTGTTGTTATCCAGAAATGTAAGAAGAAGAATTTGTTTTATTTTCATGTAGAAACTAAGAGACTTGACTCCCTTTGAATATTAAGCCTAGTCTTTGGTCTGTAATCTAGCCTTCATTCAGTACAATAAATACAGTTACTCCATCTAAATGTAAACAACAGTGTAAGTTCACTCTGTAAATCAAATCGCTGGTGTTTATAAACATAGGTAGCAAGTACCAAGCGAGAAGGGCTCATGGTCCAGGGGAAAAGCTGCTAACAGAGAAAATTTGCTAGGCTGGCAATAGAAGGGGTGTGACGGGATGGGGGGAAAAAGGTTAGCTGGTGAGATGAACTAAATTAGCAAGTACTCAGTGACATACGGAGAAGGCATCATGACTTTGGAGAGGGTAAGAAAAGAACCTAGGATTAGCGTGAATTAAAGGAAGTTGAGGGGGGTGTCGGGTAGAGCAAGGGCCAGTGCTCAGATGGTGGAGTCAAGGAGGCTGGTGATAGGGCCCTCGAGCTCTAATGCCAAAGGTGACAAGAGAAAGCAGATCGAGCAATGGGGAGAGGATTGCTCAAGGACTCAAAGGCCAGAGGTGGAGGGAATCCTGAGCCAGAGGATGCAGTGTGTGGGGCGGGTGGGTCAGCAGCAGGGGCGGGGCAGACTCTGTGGCCGGGGAAGTTTTCCTGGACAGCGCTGAGATGGAGAGCTAAGGCTGTAACACGGACTTCAGACTCTCAGGGGCGTTCAGCCAGGTTTGGTGGCCACTCAGTGTTGGAGGGAAAACTCAGTGAAGGTTGGGATTTCATTTCAACCAGCTTAAGGCGATTTCAGAGACGGAGGGACTTGGGTCAAGTGCACGTGGGGGCACATTTCACTCGGGTTTGGGCATGAACTCAGGTCGCCGTTGGGCTGTGTTTCAGGCAGCTGGCAGGTGCATTCCCTCCGCACCGGGAGTCCAGGCGCGGCTGGAGGTCGCGAAGTGCATGGCCTTCAGGACGCGGTGCGGGTCGGTAGCGGTGTCCAGCGGGGACTCCGGAGGTGCGGGTGCGGGTTCGAGGCGGAGGAGCCGCGGTCCCTGGACCCTGGGCTCGGGGCTCGGCGGCGGGCGCTCCCGGGGGAGCCTGTGGCCGGAGACATGAGCGAGCGGCGCGGCGACGACCGAGGGTCCTCCCTCGCTCCGCCCGGGCCTCGCGGGGGCCCTTTCACCACAGAGACGCTTTTCGGCGTCGCCCCTCCCTTCGCTCCTTTAAGAAAAAAAAAAAAGAAAGAAAAAAAAAAATCACCTCTAACCTTTCCCGTGAACCGTGGGCCTCGGGCCACTTCCGGGAGCGGAGGCGCGCCCCGCGGGCGGGGGCGGAGGCGCGGGCGGCGGCGGCGGCGGGGAGGGGAGGGGAGGAGGCGGAGGCCAACATGGCGGCGCGCAGGGCTGGGCCCGGCCGCCGCGCCTGAGCGCCCCACCACCCTCGCTCGGCCCGCGGCGCGCACGCCCGCACCCAGCCCGGCGCGGCGGCCTCGGGGGGCGCAGGCCCGGAGCGCGGAGGCCTCGGGAGCGCGGGGACGGCGCCGGGGCGGCCCCGCACGGCCCGCCAAGCCCGGCGCCCGCAGCCTCGCCGCCCGCCGGCCGGCGCGGCCCGGACGCCCGCGCCATGGAGTCGGAGGAGGAGCAGCACATGACCACGCTGCTGTGCATGGGCTTCTCGGACCCCGCCACCATCCGCAAGGCCCTGCGCCTGGCCAAGAACGACATCAACGAGGCCGTGGCGCTGCTCACCAACGAGCGGCCGGGCCTGGACTACGGCGGCTACGAGCCCATGGACAGCGGCGGCGGCGGCGGCCCCGGGCCCGGGCCCGGCGGGGGCCCGCGCGGCGACGGCGGCGGGGACGGCGGCCCCTCCCGCGGCGGCAGCACCACCGGAGGCGGCAGCGGCGGCGGCGGAGGAGGAGGCGGCGGCTTCGACCCCCCGCCCGCCTACCACGAGGTGGTGGACGCCGAGGTGAGCCGGGGAGCCGGGCCCCGCGGGGAGGCCGTAGGGTGGCGGGGACACACCCCGCTGGGCGGCGTGCGGAGGGGTTCGGTGTGGGGCGCCCCGGGCCCGTCGGGGGCGGAGGTCACCGCCCTGGGGTCCTGTGGGGAGAGGGACCCCTGGAGAAGGGCCGAGTGGGGCTTGGGGTGCAGCGCTGGGCTGCGCGGTGAGGAGGCTGAGGAGGGGGCTCCAGGCTCCGGGTCGCGGATGGGCCGCAGGGTCCCGGGCCGGCCTCGGAGATGGGGAAGGCACCCGGGACCCTGAGCACGGTGTCTTGGGGTGGGGGGCAGACATGGGGCACGAGTAGACGAGGCTAGGGTCTGAGATTTGGTGACACCGGGTTCCCGGGAATGAATGGGAGACGCACCCGGTGCGGAGTCGGACAGAGAAAGTGTGATGGGCCGCCAGCACGAGTGGCCCTTTGCTTGACATCAGGGAGGATGGCTGCGAGGAGGAGTGGGGTTTGGGTTTCCTTTAGGCGAAGACCCAAAAGAGGAAGATGGGGCAGGATCTGACATGAAGAGGGTTGAGGTCAGGATCTGACACGAAGAGGGGCCGGGCCGGGGTGACAGGACTTGGTGTACGGTGGGGGGTGGGGGACACGCAGCTGCAATGAGGTCTGGTGCGGATCGGGCTAGGTGTGTGTGTGTGTGTGTGTGTGTGTGTGTGTGTGTGTGTGTGTGTTGGGAGGGGCCTCCCCGCAAGCATTAATAAGGTTAGAGGTCAGAGGTCAGAGGGCCGGGTGTAGCTGAGGAGGGACTGAGCAGTGGTGGGGACTGGGTTAGGAGGATGAAGCTGGAACCAAGACTGGGTGGGGAGAGGCCTGGTCATAGATAAGGTCATAAATGAGGGAAAACTGGCCTGGGGGAAGGGACCGTCTGCAGAGGAGATAAATGGGAGTGGAGGAGGAAAGTGATCGAGGTGAATGGCTTTGGTGATACATCTCAAGTCTGGGTAGAGAACATTAAGGCTGTTTAATTTGGGATGTGAGCAAAGAACATTGGGGGAGGGAGGCACAGGAAGGTGTTGATGAACTTTAACTGCTATTTAAAAAATGATCAACCAGAAGCAACATGGCAGCTGGTGGCAGGAGTTTCCAACAGATTCATTGGGTCCAGTATTTGAAAGGGTCCAGTAGAGCTGGTGGGCCTGATCACTGAAGAACACATTTTCAGATGGTGGTTTGTGTTCTTAAGTAGATATAGGAATTTGATTACGGTAAATCTTTTTTGGAGGGGTGGTGGTGAGGGGGGTATAATTCTTAATGAAGCTAAGCCTTCTACAAGATTTTTCCCTAAATAGTGTTATATTCCTTTAATTACATACTTTTGCAGCAATTGCTTGGACTTAAGTAGCTTGGAAGAGAGGGCACTTAAAAAACCAGTTTTCTTCCCAAGGTTTCTTTGGTTTCCAGACTTCTATACACTTGATTGAGTGCCCTGTGTTACCCAGTAACTCAACTGTATCATTGATTAATGTATGGCAGTAAGATTGTTATTTCTAGCTTGGAAATTAAAAAAAAATTCCATATCATTAGCTAACTGTACTTAAGTCATTTTATAAGAAATGAGCTTCTCTTTGCAAGCAAGCCCCCGTTACTCCTCTTCTTGTTCCTTCCACTTTTGACCCAGTTTTGAAATTAAAAAAACCATTGCTTTTGCTGCGGCATTTGTGTAACTCTACAAAGCTCAGTGAGAAAAATCCTCATTTTGTGAGCAATTTTATTCTCTTTTTCTTTGGCCACATTTTAATTTTCTGTGATTGAAAAACCAAGTTAAATTACAATGCCTGATGGTGCTTTAACATTAGCTGTGCTACCTGTACATTTAAGTACGAAGTATTGGAACTGGCTTTTCACATGTTGATAGGCTAAGAAGTTTGCTTTCAGGTAAAACCAAGAGGATCTATGTCTTTTTGAGGAGTTGTGTCCAGTTTTTATTTCCTCTTGAACTGTCGATTTGGCCTGGGGAGGCTGCACCATTTAATTCTGAAAACTCACAAAGAGCTGGGGACTGAGGCTGCTTTACCCAGAAGCATATTGGCAAAATACAGGCAGACACAGGAACCTGGTGAGAATGTTTAACCCAATTTTTGCCTCTTGCAAGTCTTCTTGCATGCCACCTGTGCAGCTTATTGGCCACCCTTGCTATAGTGGGAAACTGAAACTTTGATCTTGGGGAATAGGGAAAGTTGCTAATTGCTGTTGAGTATTTCAACATGTCAGGCATTGTTTTAGGTACTTTGTATATATTTATTTAATCCTTAGTGAGGTAGTTAATAATATCACCATTTTAGATATATGGTTAGTTAGTGGCAGAGTCTTAATTTAAACCTGGGTCTCTCTGACTTTAAAGACTGTGTTTTTGACTCTGCTTAACTCATGGTTTTAGGATTGAATTCAACCTTTTTATAATAAAAGCCTAATATGATAAGTGTCCAGTCATCTGTTCAACCAATCAAAGCGTAATATGCTAATGATTTGCTAAGGCCACTCAACTGCTCGCTATGATGTGCACTGACCGCCAGGGGGTAGATGCTCCCACCGGTAGGTTAGCTTGCTGCTAGGGTCCAGCTGATCAGTCTGAGCAAGATGGGCCCGACACTCCCTGGAGCCCTCCTGCATCCCTCCCTGGCCCTGATCTTGTACCAGTGGGGTCCCTCAGCCTGGCCTGTGTCCTCTGGCAATCCAGGACCCCCCAGTTTCAGCCGATTCCGCAGGCCAGGCTGAATTCATGTTTTAGGATAAGAAGGAAAAATAAGGAAATATAATACTTAGGGGGCTACGGTGCAAGTCTAGAAATGAGGTGGCAAGCACTGAATCAAGGCATTAGGAATAGAATAGTAATTAGACTAAAAGGAGAATTATAGATTTTTGAAGCAGAAGACTTTAGAAATTAATAATTAGCTTAGCTATCTTGTTTTACAAATGCAGTCTTGCAATCCCCAAAGAGGAAGTGGCTTGGCCTTACAGAGCCAGTTAATGAAAGAGATAGGACTGGAACTCAGGCCTTCTCACTGCAAATCCAGTGCATGTTCTGTCCACCAGCTATTTTTGTTTCAAAGGAAAGAGACAAGATACAGCAATGGGTTAAAGGGGATGAAGAAAAGGGAAGTGTAACAAACAGGGTGAAGTTTGTTGGTTCTTGTATAATATGATTTACCCGTTTTATTTCTGAAAAGTGAGTATCTTATTTTAAATTATATAACACTACTTATTGAATAGAAAATTTTAGTTTCAGTGTTCTCTTAAAAATATTTGGGAATATATGGATTAAAACATAATATACAGATTTAAATCTAATTATTTTTAAAAGAAAAATGATTACATTTGTATTTGTAGTTTGGGGACAGGAATGCTCCTCTCATTCAGGAACGATCCTCATTGTTGCCTTCCCTATCCTGGGGCTGGGAGTACGGTGCAGAACAGAACATGAAGATTGCATTCTAGCTGATCTTAGGGCAAGGCCTCTCATTTTACAAGAAGTAACTTCCCAAGGTCATGTAGCTCATTAGGGAAATCAGTTTAGTAATTTGGGTCCATGCTATAATTAGGATTTAGTTTAAAAATTAAATTTTGGAAAGTAAAAGCAGTTAACTTCTGATTCCATGGAAGCCAGGAGAATGCAGATAAAGAAGACCCAGCCATCTAGCAGAACGCATAAAACTTCACAGAAAACCACCTTTTTAATTTCCTCTGTTAAGTAAAGGTATTGTTTTGCAGAAAGTTGTGTGTGGTGTTAGTAGTGTTGGACGTGTATGTATGTATAATTCTTAGTCTCTGAGTTTGGAAGGAACTTCAAGAAGCTATCAGTTTTGATTTTGAATAGCATTTCTTTACAACCTTTCCCAGGCTGGTGAGAGCCTGTTCTAATATTAAAGAGTGAGATCTGACAACTGCTGTAAATAATTTATTCAGATATTTAACACTCCCACTGTCAAGAGTTCTTTACTGTTTCTTATGCGGGTAATATAAATCCCTCTGGCCACTGCTGAGGGCATGCTCATGGTTCTGCCCTTCACCAAGTGGGAGAGTTGTTCCTTTAAGACTTGTGATCCTGTTAAAGGGACCAGTAGAAATCAGAACCAGGTATTGTCATGGGCATCTTATAAAATTTAATTGTGAAATGTATCTTATTTATTATTAAGTCTCCTTATTTGTCTTTAGAAAACACCAAAATGGTTTTTCAAGGAGATTTCTGCAACAGCTAGAAATACCTTTCTGTGATAATTAATATTCTTAGAAGTGACATTTAATACTGTTGCCTAGCAATATTGTGAACTCCTTGTTTTGTTATTGTTTTAATGTGTACATTCCTTCTGGAGTTATTTCATCAAAAGTGTTTGCAAGATTTCATTGCTTCTTTGTTTTTGTTTTTTTTTACATTAAAAAAATTTTTTTTTTTATTAAGGTATCACATATTTGTCTTCAACCCCCACCCCTCCCCACGCATGTCCCTCCCCCCTATTGTCCCTGACCACTGGTTAGGCTCCTATGTGTGCACACATGTCCTTTGGTTGATCTCTCCCTTTTATCCCCACCCTCTCTCTGAGGTCCAACCGTCTGACCCATGGCTCCTTGTCTCTGAGTCTGTTCTTGTTCATCCGTCTATGTTGTTCACCATTTCCCCTAGATGAGTGAGATCATGTCCTACTGGAAATATACTTATAAGAATCGAAAATGAGACATGCAATAATCATTATGCTGAAAGGCATATGAATCAGTCTGCAGTGAGTTTCTTTCTGGGCCAACAGTTCTTTTGAGACCCAATTTCAATGTCAAACAGTTCCTTATGTGTACATGTCAGCAATGATATTTCAGTTCTGGATGGTGGGCAAATGGTGGTAATGCAGGTCCAACACTCTCTGGTTTGGTCCCGGGCAACCTGCAGTGATACACAGCTGCTGTCTGCTAGTATGGCAAGGCATCGTCAGCGTTTTCCATCTCTGGACTGCTTCTCTTCTGTCTTCAT